CGCGGGCAGGCGCGATGGACACTCCGGGACGACGGCGGCCAGCAGTTGGCCCGCGCATGGACCGCGAGGAGACCTGGCCCCGACGCCGCCGAGTCCGTCTCTTTCCATGTTTCGGTCGATGTTTATTTTGGTTACTTTCTCACCTCTCCTGGCTATTTATTTGTTTGGTATGAATAGATGTCTAAATAATATGGACCGGACCTTCAAGAGCCTTAACGAGCTTGTTTCCTGGATAATTTATTACCACACGCGACCCGGGCGCCCTGGCCAGAGCCGCCCTCCGCCGCCGGCGCCGCCCTCCCCGCCGCTCCGTGTAGCCGCCACTCGCCGCCCGGGGTCCACAAAGTATATTTTTATACACAGAATTGTAAATTAGATTTTTGAGAGATCAATGCTTAACTGAACTACATTTCATTTTTGAAATAGTGTAAAATATGAAAATATATTATTTTAACGTGACCAGTGTCCAGCCCAGCGCCCGCCCTCGGCCCGCCCTCCGCACCGTCTTGCCTCTCCTGGAAGCCAAGGCTGTCACCGTCTCTCTCACACACACTTTTTTGGGGGACAAAACTGGAAAAACTCTTATTTTTAACTTCGAAGAATTTATTAGAAAATAATATTTTTTAAAAAGCGCACATAGTGGCCAACCCGCGAGGGTCTGTAGTTTGTACAGAGAAAACAAAGGATGTTTTTGCATTAATAAACCGAGAAATAACTGCTGTAAATTTACTAAAATGTATTTTCGAATATTTTGTAATAGTTTTCTAGAAATAAAAGCTGCCACCACGGCCTGGTCAGTGCGTGAGGACTCGGAGCCCCTGTCCGGCCGCCGCCTCTGCCTCAGGCCTCCTGATGTGGGGTCCGGGTCGCCAGGACGCCCCAGAACCAGCCGCCCGCAGGCCGCTCCCGGACGGGCCCTGCAGCTGGCCCAGGCGGGCGGCGCTCGGCCGGGCCTGAGCGTTTCCACGGGGCGTCCCTCCGGCTGCGGGTCACCCCTTGTCAGCGCCCAGCTTGCAGCCGGGGAGGTGGGGCCTCCCTCCCGGGCCGGCCACCCAGGGTGCAGGGCTGGGCTCTCGGACGCAGCCGCCAGCTGCTTTCTCAAGCCTGGGTGCCCATTTCAGAGGGGACCCCGGGACAGGGCCTGGCATTCCCCTCTGAACCGCACACTCTCTGGGCGTGGGGTGCCCGGCCTGCCTGCTCGGCCCTCACGGCCGGTCCTGGGCGGCGGGCGGGCGGCTCTGGGGCCGGGGCCAGCGGGGGCAGTGTCTGGGAGCTGGTGTCCCTCGGGCCCGGCCCTCTGGGCTCCCTGGGCGCCTGCGGGGTCTGGAGCAGGGCCCCTGCACCGCCCGCCCTGGGCAGGACGCGCCCGCCTGCAGCCGCCCGCCAGGTTTCCAGCGGGAGCTTCGCGGGAGCCTCTGTCCTGCCAGCGGACGGGTGGCCGCCCTTGCCGGGAGCCCAGGGCCGCCCACAGCACCGCACCCTGCCGGCCCGTGGTCCGTGCACTGTGCACCCCAGGGGCGCTGGAGGCCGCGCCCGGCCCCTTTTACTCCGGGGCGCCCCACCCCGCTTCTCAAGACTGTTCCCAGCTTCACGCCAAAAACCCCCTTTTCCCACGAGCAACGCCAGGAAGCCATTCCGCGGAGGGGTGCTGCAGGGCTCGGGAATCGCCAGCCCGGGCCTTGAGAACCGCCGCTTGCAGCGCGAGCGGGCCTCCCCATTTCAAATTCAAATACGCATCTCGAGAGGCTGAGGAGAGGCCGGGCTGTGCAAACAGTGCTTGTGGGGGCCGGCCTCTGGGAAGGCCGAGAGCCAGCCGCGGGGGGCGGGGTGCACCTGAG